ACAACGACGACAACGACGACAACGACGACAACGACGACAACGACGACGACGGCACACGAACGGAAAAGTGTCTCAAAAAGTGATTTTCTACGCGTTTCATGAGTTTTTATGATGATCTAAACCAATTTTGCGAAAAAAGTTGTCGGGACCAATTCCTATACTTTCCCTTGACACGTTGTGTACGGAAAAGTAAAACGTGAAAATATTCTCATTTTTTTGACATTATTTTGAGCGCCAACTTGAAATTTCAAGATTTTTTCACAAAAATGTGAGATCACATCATGGTTGGCTCAAAAATAAATGAAAATTTAAAATTTGCGCTCATGTCAAAAAAATGAGAATATTTTCACGTTTCTATTGAGATTTTTTCATTGCTACATTTAGATACATTTGTTTCACAAAAAAAACTTGAGAAGAAAATCTCGTGAAAACATTTGGTGAAATAGGCTACTGCTCATAAGAACATCTAGACCATAAGCATTGACAGTGATATGATATCATTATTAATTTTAATTAAACTGTGCCAACACCATCGAATATCATTGGGTTAATTTATAATGTCTTGCATAATGTAATAAGAAAAATTACATCAATTACCTCAACTAAAGAATCATCGTGCTAGATCGGATTTAACGTCAATCGTAGCACGATTTTGAAATTAAACCGTTATGGGCATCAAATTATTTTAATTACTGTGTATGACCGCCATTTAAACCTCTGGATTCTGCACTAAATATAGGTTTGAAATGAGATTCGTGCATATGCACAACCTCATATGGGTTCAACCGAATTCCATTATTACAGATGAGGCTTCTTTCATTGGCACAAATTGCAAATGTTATCGTTTTCCAGGAATTTCAAATGAAAATAGCTGCATTGTATGAGTCCATCGTGTTGATATTGCTGTAATTAAAATTAACTGCATTTCATTGAAATTCGTCGAAATGCCGGTCATCAACACGATCCCACTATTAAATTGTATCCTTTGTGAATTGGGATAGAAAACTGATATTTTCTCGCTTCCTTTTTGAATCATGGTATTGTATTTGAAACATCCATCATAGTTGGTAATGTGGCATCGTTTAAATTTCACTGAATTTATAGGTCATGTAATTCAAACACACTACTGCAAATTGAGTGGTCGGCATGTGAAAAGGTTCTAGAGTCCTCTTTTCGACCAGCGAATATTATTCACCGAATATTGAAGCATTGAAAATTGAACCGGAAAATTTTGCACGAGGTCAAAGAGACGATTTAAATTCTTGGCCTGGCCAATCATGATTGGCACATAACAGCGTGCTGTTCCTGCTCACAAAAACAGTGCAAATCCTGACGATGCGCTATTTTTAAACGATCAAATGCCGATTTATCCTCACACTCTCGCGTATTCGCACTCGTTCGGTTGAGTGAAGTGCTTAAAATCAGAAACATGGAAATTCGGCAAATCGTAGAGATTACGTTCTATTCACTGTGTCATCAAAATTTTTCGGGTTATTGATAAGTTTGCGAGTTGCACGAGTGTCACTTGACTGTGTGACTGACTGGTGGCGGCAGATTTTCACTTGCCACGTATATACCGATTCATCACTTGACAAATCGATGTGCTGCATTTTCGTCATTCATCCATCGTTGGGTTGATGTGTATGTGCTATGCGAGACATTTTGATTGCCCATCAAAGTGTAATGATGCATACATGGATTTCGGAAACACTTTTCAACGTAATTTCATAGCAAAATGAGCATTCATCTGACGACGACAACAACAACGACGATGAAACACCCACGAATTTGCGATTCACAATAAAAATTGCTAGGTTGTGTTCATATTTTGTGCTTTCGCATAATTTCAGTTCTATTCAACAATCGCACACGCACCACCGAACCCAGTGGAATCGAATTCCACAATAAATTGGATATTTTATACGGATTGCGATGTGCGAGCAAGCGAGCGGACGAGCGTACGCGACATACATTCACTCACACACACACACGTATATCACACTGACAATGGCATTTTATGCATTGAATATGGTAATTTTGCTGACGAATTGCAAAAATGTCAACAAATACGAATGACGCAAAATGGATAAACTTTCGATGCATCGCATTTGAATCGCATAAAATGCGATGGCATAAAATTGAAACTATTTTCTAGAAACTTTGAAAATGGAGAGAACATAAAATGATTCCGAAACATGGCATTATCGCACGTTATCGCATGTGGAACGGAAAAACAAATCCGGTGACACGAAAATAAAAAATTATATGTCGATTGTAAAGTGTTGTGTATGTGTGTGTAAGTGTGTCAGTTGGCAAGAATGAGCACGAGCGCCGATCTTATAGTCTTGGCCACCCCCATGCAGAGCTTGTTCACACATACACAATTTGTACAGATTGTTAGACTAATAAAAAAACTGCATAGGAATAGCGTTGATTTTTTTTTTAGTTTCAATCAATGCAATTTTCTTAAAATGTTTGCGTCTTTAACTTCGAAACGATAGCGGGCGAGAGAGAGAGATAAACGTTGCCTTAAATCCATTCTCGTCCATAAAATGAAATGCCATAAAAATCAGGATTTATTGAAATTATACTCACGATTAACACCAGCAACCTTTTTTTAACAAGATAAAACTAACTCCTACACATCGAATCACAGCAAAAAAAAAACACATTCGAAATTGCGGAATAAAATAATGATGATGAAAAAAAATCAAAAGTTCAGCGGTTTATCGGAGACAAATCCGATTGGCGACAAAAATCACATCATGCGATGCAAGTCGGTGTATCCAGTAGTCAGCAGAAGATTATATTAGCGTTTTTCTGGATTGACACATATGGACAATATTGATGTGGTTGATCATTGGGCGCATTTTATGGCTACATTGAATTTAAGCCATAAATAAAATTTGTTTTTATTTTCTCTCTCTCTCTCTCTCTCTCTCTCTTCGGCACCGTAATTCGCCTTTACTTTGTCAAAATGGCGTGCTTCTGTCAGCAGATTGCATAATGCAGTTTGATGAAAATATATATCGCTCGAATGCAAAAGGCGTGCAGAGTAATAAATTTGTCAGAATCTTATCATTTATATTCGACATATTATTCTCGACTCGTTTTTTTCGGGCTCCTTTTTGATTTTATACCGCGCACAAAATGAGGTTCGAAATGAGATGTAAATTTGAGGCCTGCATTCACCATCCGAATCACAGTGTCTTACGGTCGGGTGTCGATAAGGCAATAATCATTTTGCATTTTCAGTAGTAATCGCGTTTAT